ATTGACCTTTGAGAGAGCAGCCTACTAACCTGGGGGTTAAAGGGACCACAGCTGCTGGCCAAAAAGGGCCAGGCTGCTGGGGTAAATCCCCACTGCACCAGGGATGACTCCTGGCTGGCACATCCTTGAACCAGCCCAACACCACTGGGGCTGCAGGTGAACACCCACTTGTGTCTCTGCATCGCCCCGTGCTGTTGTCCCCACCACCAAGAGAAGGGCTAAACACACCCAGACCAGCTGCCCACATCCCACAGAGCCAGCTGGGAGCTGCTGGATCGCTGCCCCAGCTGGGGTTTGGCATGGCAGGAGCGAGACTGGGGTTTGGCATGGCAGGAGCGAGACTGGGGTTTGTTGTGGCCACACCAGCAGCCAAGGGGACAGCAAAACCCCAGGAGCTGCCACCTGCACTCTGCTAGAAGCTCTCTGCACCCCACAGCACCCTGCTGGATTCCTGGGGGACTCTGCCAAACACCACAAGCTCTGCAGGAGACACAAGTAAACACCTGCACTTGGGATCATTTCCCCCTTTTTTTCTAATTTTCTTTTATTTTTTTAATTTATTTTTTTAAAAGCACATATGTGGTTGCTTATCCCCCCTGTTCCCAGCTGGGAAACTGTAGCTAGTTGAGAATTTCAGCTGCATTGCCCAGAGGCACTCGCAGGAGGCTCCTGCATTTGATGATGGCCAGTTGCCCCCAACATTAAAATCTTAATTTCCTTCTGCATTCCAAAAAATATCCAGGGATATTTTTTCCCCACTACTCTTTCAGGCTGAGTAAACTCTTTAAGCATCAGGATACCAGATGCTGTAATCTCCTGCATTTCCATTTAGCCTAGCATAGGGAAATCATCCCCACGTAGCCACTGGGAAGTGCTTGGGGCTGGGGACAGTGTGGGGACAGTGTGGGGACAGTGTGGGGACAGTGGCTCAGGCTGAGGGCTAAGGGACACGCGGGCAGTACTGGCAGCCCAGCTGGAAGCCAGTCTTGTTCCGCCAGCCCTGCAAACGGGACGACTTTGCAACGTTTTGACTGAAAATGTTTGCTGAAAATTTTCAACCACTGGAAAGTTTTAGTGCAGAGAGTTTTTGGAGCTCCTCCCTGGCATCGCCTGGGCTTCGAGCTCCCCTTGGCTGCTGCTTTCTTGTTGTTTTCCCTTCTTATTTCCCTCCTTCCTTATTCTACTGAAACAACCAAGGGAAATAACTGGGGGAAAAACTAAATCCGCATTTGTTAAGAGACAAAGCCCACTCGAGCCGCGGTCCCCTTTGCTGTCCCAGGTGAGGTCCCCAGCTGGGTGAGGTCTCCAGCTCGCTTTGCGGGCACTGGAGGAGCCCGATGCAGGGAGGGGATGGATGGATGGATGGCAGCAGGCTGCCCACCCTGTGCACACCCGGTCCAGCCTGCCGGCACTTCCAGAGCTCCTCTCGCAGAGCTCCTGTCCTCACACGGGGCTGGGGCTGCCGTCCTGCCGGGCCAAGGGAACGTCCCCGAGCGGCGACAGGCTCGCCGGGAGCTCGGCCCGGCGATAAGGGGATAAGGATGTCGGGATAAGGGGATAAGGTTGTTGGGATAAGGGGATAAGGGTTCAGGAGCCCTCCCCAGCTGGCACTACAGCCCCCAGCATGCCGTGCCGCCCTGGCGGGAGCACAGTGCAGCATGCTGGGACCCGTAGTCCTCCTCCCTTCCAAAAATGCCATTTTAGACTTTTTCTGGGCTGGATGCAGCCCCATTTTCTGCAGCAGAAGCGCCTCCCCGGCCACGGGCCGGCGGGCTCAGCCCGGGGCATCGCGGGTGCGAGGGGCAGCCAGCACGGCCCGGTGGCTCCCGGTGCCCGGCAGGAGCGCGCCCGGGGCCTGGGGACAGCGGGACAGAGGGACCCGGGACAGCGGGACAGCGGGACAGCGGGACAGAGGGACCCGGGACAGAGGGACCCGGGACAGAGGGACAGCGGGACAGCGGGACAGAGGG